GTCTGTATGTGGTGGTTCTTGATGCACTGACACCAGCCTCAGTCCACTCCTTATGAAGCTCCCCCAGATTTCTGAATCGCCCTTGCTTGACAATCCTCTCAAGGCTGCGGTCATCCCTGTCACTTTTGCACCTTTTCCGGCCACATTCTTCCCTTCTTCTTAACACTCTGTTAATATACTTTGATACTGCGCTCTGTGAGCATCCAGCTTCTTTTGCAATTGCCTTTTGAGACTTTTCCTCCTTATGGAGGGTGTCAATGATGGTCGTCTGCACAACCGTCAAGTCAGCAGTCTTCCCCATGATTCTGAAGCCTACTAAGCCAGACTGAGACAATTTCAAGGCTGAGGAAACCTTTGCAGGTGTTTTGCATTAATTAGCTGACTAGATTGGGACACAGGGAGCCTACAATGTTGAACTTTGTCATGATATTCTAATTTTGTGAAATACTGGATTTGGGTTTTTTTTGTCTTTAATCCATAATCATCAAAATTGAAACAAATAAAGGCTTGAAATATTTCACTTTGTGTGCAGTGAACTAATATAACATACAAGTTTCACTTTTTGAAACAAATTATTGAAATAAATGGACTTTTCCTCGATATTCTAATTTTTTGGCACATACCTGTAGCAGCCATTTGGTGCAAGTTGCCCTGCCTGCCAATTTGTACAAGTTTGTTAATCTAGATAGGCTGTATTTTCATTAAATCTCAAGCATCTTATTAACTTTGATTACAAGTGATTACATGTTTTTTTTTTTTTACAATTAATAGGGGTACAAGTTTACAACCCATATCACCAAAAAAAAAGTGAGTGCCTGAGTCATCTGAAAACTTATGGAAGCCACTGGTCAATTTATGAAAAAGGTCTATTGGTTAGCCATAATTGTGGATGACGGCGTGAAAGAACTTTTCTGAATCTAGTGCATAAACATATTCCTTCAACTGTACTTTGCAAATTGTATTTTATTGTGTCATGGACGCATGAAACGGCACATATCCATGTCTGTAGTAATGTCTATGTAAATACAGCCTGACTTTGTGAAATATTTTAACATAGCCTTCTTTTTGTTTTCAGATGATCAGCAGAATTGAGTATGTACACACAAAGAACTTCATCCACAGAGACATCAAACCAGACAACTTTCTAATGGGCATTGGCCGTCACTGTAACAAGGTAAGTTAAGGTTCTGTGTATACTGCAAGTGTGGATTATTGAGAGTCAATGTGGAGCTGTAGGTGGAGAGGTGTATGTCATGGTAGCCATATTAATTCTGCAGTTGTAATTTCTAGCTGGACTATAAATAAATTTACCTTATTAGTAGTTGTGATGATTTCACCTGCTGTTAATGCAGTTTCAGAAAAACCTTATTAACGGCACTTGGTAATTTAGCTTCTATTGACAAACTTGAGCAAAATATAGATATAATATATAGGAATATACAGTCTGGGGAAAAATTATTTGAACCCAAGCTGATTTTGTAAGTTTGCCCACTAACAAACAAATGATCAGTCTACAATTTCAATGGTAGGTTTATGTGAACAGTGAGAGACAC